TTTTATAAATATTTGTATCAGTACATAAGTACAAGTATGAGATAATCAACTAGGACTCTAACTAGTGACCATAAAAGAAATAGTATGAACAAAGAAAAAATGAATGAAGAAGAATAAAATAAAATAAATACTTATTTCTTATTGTTCCTTGCCGAATTTGATAAAGAATAGTTTTGCTCGATGATTCTTTAAATTTAAAAAAAATGAGAAGGAACATTTGGAAAAAAAATATCCCCTATAACTGTTGTCAAATTTGAGAAACAAAGAGAAATTACCTATTTGCATTTCATTTTTTTTATCACCATTTAGAATTTAGATATAACAAAAAACATAGTCGTAAAGAGAATTATTGGCACATGAATACTTATAATCCCCTACATATTAAAATAGAAACATTTGCAAAATTGTAATCTCGATTTTGTAATAATTAAAAAAGACTTCATACTTAGGTGTCACTCAATTAGGTAGTCAATTACATTCAATTGAAAAATAAGTAGGTCCACATTCAATTTTTATATGTCTTTAGATACATTTGTTGGTCAAACTATATGATATGATGATATGATATGATATTTACGATAGAAGCATTTTTTTTTACAACGAACGGCAGATCTATTACTCAAGCTTGAGGTGGTCTAGGAATCCTGACTGGAATAGAACAACCAACATACACCAAATCTCGATCAAAAGATCCAGCAGTCTTAGCTAGGAAATCGGAAACTCTATTTTGTGCCCTAGGAACATAGAAAATCTTAAAATCTGGAAAATAAATCCGCAACATCGTGAGTTTTTCTAATTCCGTTGAGAAGCTTGGCAAGTCCTGTGGATTCCTGAGAATTGTTATCATTTCCTTGCAGTCTGTCTCAAAGCTCTGACATGGCGAATGTTGAAGCATATTCTCCATTGCCCACGTAGTGCTTCCAGCTCAGAGTGCAAAGCCGACTCCACTCTATCAAAATTACGCATTCCCATCAACTGACTATTCCCCGTATTGTCATTCCAAACCCATCCACATCCACTGAATGGAGCTGTAGAGGTCCAAGAGCCATCTACCATACAAATATTCCCCAAACTTATGGCTTGGGTATCAACCTCCATGTTTCCTTGCGAAGGCATAGAAATCTGTTCATTGGCTTTGAACCAGGCTTGCATTCACTCTCTGCATATCGGGCTAACTCCAGTGGGTCTCTATCAATCCCTTTGAACAATTTGTCATTCCGGGCCTTCCAAATATACCATATAAGCCACAGATAAGGATCCATGTCCAAGCCCGGTGCTGTTATGGCATTCTTCCTCCAAAAGAGGTAATCCATATTCTCATATGTGCTCTGAAGTGGGAATAAAGTAGGACTAGTAGGCATCGACGATAAGTCCCATACTTGCTTTGCAAGTGGACACAGGAAAATGGCATGTGTAATTGATTCTTCAGGTTCTCCATTCAGGTTCTCCACAGCGTGGACAATAATTGTCACATCTTATGTGCCTATAGTTTAAAGTACTCGTAACAACCACATGACATGTTATTAGTTTCTACATATGATGGCACATCTTCTGGGGAGCCCGCACCTTCCAAGCTTGTGCTTGTAGTTTAGTGATACTAGGTTCACTAACTACAGACACCTCGTCCTGTTTTAAGATATTCCGTGCAACCCAGTATCTAGATTTGACTGTATATTGTCCACTACTTGTATAGCTCCAGCAATAAGTGTCCCTATGGTGTGTAGAACTAATTGACATACTCTTTATGAGAGGTATATCAACAGCATCTACGTAGTTTTCCAGTCTCATCGCATCCCAATTCTTAGTCTCTTGATTAATGAGGTCGCTTACTCTCATGTTTGGGTGCATCACCGGTGCCGATGGGGATGCCGGTCTCGCTGGTATAGTAGGAATCCAAGGATCCTCCCATCAGAAGCATTTATGATTGTTCCACTAGATATAATTACTATTTTATTTTCTTTTCTTAAATAAAACCTACGTAATTACCATAAATGACTAATATATATATAACAATTAATGATTATAATAATAAATATCTGATAACAATTTATATCTCCTCCATCATTTTTTCTTTAATTTTATATTATTAAAATAAATTAAACAATCGATAAAAATTAATGATTAAAACTATTAAAATTATTATGTTAAAAATTAATGATCAATAGTTTAACATTTTTATTATAAAAATATACATATGATTTTAAAACCAGATGAGTAAAAACTATCATTCAATAATAAAACAAATATATATATAGATTAAACTATATACCATATAAGATTACATAAATATTTTAATTTCAAAAATTTCAATGAATTTTCAAGAACATTTATAAAATATAAACTTATTCAAATTTTCTCACTGAAATTTTTTGTTATCAATGATTTAAATATCTTAGTTCTTTTTTGAATTTTATATCATTAAAAGATATTAAACAATCGACAATATGTTTGTTTTGGTATATACCATACAAACGGAATGGATGTGACTTTATGAAAACCGTAGGATTTGGATATGGTTTGATTTATAACCGATTAAACCGAAACATGTAAATATGTATATATTTATAACGACACATGAATATCTATTTGTTACATGAGTTGAACTATAACTATAATTTGTAAATCACTTGAATCACTTGAACCATAATTAACTAACAATTTACTGTAACTGAGGCTTCTTATTTTCTTAGTTTTTTATCTTTTTCTTTATTTTAACAGTAACTAAATGGAATTAAAGATTATAAATTTGATGGAAAACAATTAGTTGAAATTCTTTACAACTTTTTTTTTATCTTTTATCAAACATAGTTGTGTTCAATCGAAGACAAATTAATTTGATGAACACTAAATATGAAAGAATATAAAAACTCTTCTTCCATGCTTGTGTTTTTTTTTTTTTCAAAATTTAGATCTTTGATATTAATTCTAGATTTGATCATTTTATTAGATGATAGAAGCCTTTTTTGTTTTTTATTCTTTTATTTAAATATATAATATTTTTTTAATAAATGACTTTTGACAATATGACTCTAAATATGATCATATTATATATTTGTATAATACATAATATGATCTCAAACTAAATAATAATTTTTTTGGTATAAAACTGAAAACCGATAGTATATAAACCAAATTGAACCGAAATAAATATAGATTTAGAATAGTAGTTATATTTTAATAACCAAAATACCAAAAAATTGAACCGAACTGAAACCCGATGTCCGGATTAATCCAAATGAAACCGAACTATTGTTTCATTTTCCAAAACATAATAAAAATAACAACTTAATCCCGCGCAAGGCGTGGATCGTATCCTAGTTATATCTTTTATCAAACAAAACAATTTTTATTAAAAATTTAATTTTGAGATTCAATTGGTTATTGGTACATTGATTCTCATTATTTTTAGTAAAGTTCTTTGGCTTGAAGATCTTTAAAATCTGTTCAAAAAAATTATTGTTCTAATTTATAAATATATTAGGTACGTTTTAGAAGATTTTCAAAAACTTATGGGCTACAAGGGTAAATAGACAATTTCAAAAAACACAAGGGTCCTCCCCATCTCGCGGGGGTATAAATGCACATCGCCTCTGTTAGGGTTTAAGCGAAGTGCCTATGAGAGATCAGAGCAGCGGTTACATGCTGCTCTTGTTCCGTTGCGGGCATAAATCCAAACCCACTTCTCTTTTCTTTACATCCTCTTGCAATTGATTTTCGTTATTGCAAATTGGAAGGAAAGATCGAACATTCGTTTTTCTGATAAAACCCTAAACGTGTTTCTTGTGTATGATTATGTTGTTTTGTTCGGCCGATCCAAAGGGGTTCTTGCGGTTTAACCTTATGCTAGTTCCCAATTTCACCCGGCCAATATTCTTGTTGCAATGCTCTTGAGCAGCTCTCTCGTTCTAAAGATTTCTTACATGTATTATTTTGTCGTGTCTGAAATCAGAGAGCCTGCCCTAAATTTTTTTTTGTCTATTTTTTTTTCGTCTAAAAACAGAGATATAGATGCGAACATACAAAGTTTGAATCTTTCGCTGTATATGTGAAGTACTATCAATCAAAAAACATATAAGAATTGTTTTCACTTGAACAAGTTAGGCATTTTACTTGAACGAATTAGTTTTTTTACTTGAACAAGTTAGTCTTTGTACATGAACAAGTTAGGTTTTTATGTTATGTATGGAACAGATCAGTGCCTTTGTCTCTTCCACAGTTTTACAGGAACTATGTTGTGTGTTTTTTGTTAGTTCTTTTGCCTTACTATTTGATGTTTTGTTTTTTTTCCCTTGACTTATATGGTCTGTCCACCTCTTAGTGGAAAAGTTTGCCTTGCTCGTTACAAATGTGGGCAAAGTAAAAATATGTAATCAAATCGAGGAACACGTCGTTGAACATTTTATGTTATCTGATCTGAAATTGTCTTTGGCAACTTGATTCGAAGAGAGGGTTGAACAGAACAGTGGTTTAATTTCAAAGTTTGAACATTCAAGAATAAAGATTCTTGATTTACTGGAACAATAGTTTGGTTTACTCTTCGAGGATACATTAACGACCAGGCTTTTCTTCCTCACATAAAACCTAAAGCTGTGGCAATTGCTTCAAGGACAACTTATGAAACCGGAGATTCTTTATTATTATTACTAATTGAAATGTTCTGATGTGTAACATCCATCATGGTACACTATGTTTGTAAGACTCATGGCTAGAGCAAGCTAGGTACTAGCACATAGTAGAATGAATGATCCACCGGTAATTGCTTAATTAGAGTACTAATTTGTATTGCGGACACCAGACAACTTTAACTAACAATTACAGATTCAAAATGTAAGTAATTTTACCGTAGACATCTGATTTTGTGCACATGGAGTTCGAGAGCCACATTTCTCTGTCGCAAATATATGTTTTCATCTTCAAGACAGTCCAACAATCTTCTAAACTGATCTTATCTGATGCGAAAACATCGAATGAAGGAGCATGCAGTGACATTTGTGTAGAATTTATAAGTTGGCTTGAGGAAAATTTTGTAATCCACATACCATGTTTGCTGGCACTGCATCATCAATAACCTTTGGATACACAAGATTCAGATCTGCAATAGGCAAAAACTATATAGATCATGATGACACTGAGGAAAGAAACAATGCTTAAGCATTTACTAATCAGAAAGAAACTTACTTGAGCAGACAATGAGTAACACGTTGAGTTCTTGAATCAAGTAAACGGTTCCAGTGACATGATTAGCATGGACATTTCTGTTTATCGCATAAATAAGTTTCAAGCTTAGCTCATAAACGGTCTTGTCCACAGGACCAATCAGCTGCTTGTAATAAGAGAACATAAATATGATCAACCACACAAAAATCCTCAATAACCATATCGAAATATACCATCTTTTGTGAAAGCAAAACACTCTCCAGAACAGATGTGAAACGTGGGCGAGAAGGTAAGTGTAAGTGGAAGATTCTTCCTCGAAGATCTGACGGAAGAGAAGCTTCGAGGAGGAGGAGAGAGACCAAGACGACGAAGTGATGACTGTTCGACTTCCGATTAGAGGGGACTGAGAACAGAGGATTCGTGAACAATGTGTCATCACCACATTGTTTTGTTTCTTATTCGCCACGAAAGTGTTGACATCACTGTCTTGACACAAAAGATTGTGGGACCCACGATGATCAGTAGATTCAGTACTGTCAGTGTCATGAATTGATCTGGTCGTGAAAATACTGAAAAAGTTGCTGAGTCATGTTGGAGAGGGATTGAACATCCCTCCACAAGGCCCATCGAATAACAGGCTCCAGCCCATTTACGATCGGTCTGGTTAGAGCTCGACTGAAAGAAGAGGTCAAACCGAAAATCGATCGACCGGTATACTCATTTTAAAAGCCCAACAAGTTTGGAAGCCCATCGATCTTGGGACTTTCGAATTAACTTAGGGCGAACGAAGACGAGAACGAACTTAGTAGTATAAAAGGACGATATAGGTCAGAAAGAAAGGGGATCTACTAGAAGAACACTGACGGCAAGGTTTAGAGTTTTACGATTGATCGAACCTCCTTGTAATCCAGTCGGACTTTCATAAAGCTCCGACCTTTGTTCTTTCCTTGAATCTTTCTGTAATCTCCTCTTGATATCAACTCTGATTAATAAAACGCCTTCGAAGAACCCACAAATAGAGTTTAGTTTTCTAGTCAATCGACCGTACAAAACTCAGATTCAACATTTGGGGCCCACCGTGGGGCCTTACGAAGTAGCGTTAACGAAATCAGTATGCCTCCTGACGACTCTCAAACCGACGACACACCGGCGCAGGGACCAGTCGCTGCGACTCCGGCGGCCGATGATATGATGCAGCGCATCATGAACCAACTCCAACGACAAGAGGAAACCAACAGAGTCATGAACGAGCGATTAACCGCACTTGCAGCTGCTCTCGCCGCGACAGACGGTGACGCCGGAGACACGGAAACGGCGAGACGTCGACTACTTTTCACCTCAAGGAATCCGACGCCCGCCAGAGCCGGTCCTGCAGTCGGTGGTGCGGCTAATGAAACCGACCTTACCGGTCAAACGACCGACGGACTCGACGCAGCCACCAAGTCCCAGATCGAGGAGTTGAGAAAATCGATGAAAGATATTCACTCTAAGATACACCATGTCACAACGTCCGCCCCAGAGATCGAACGCGTCCTCGCTACCACGCTAAAGAACCCATTCACGAAGCGGATTATGGATACCAAAATCAAGAAAATTAACAAGCTCCGTCTCTCGACATACGCCGGCGAAACAGACCCGACGGACCATGTGACAGCGTTCAACATAGCGGTGGGGAGGACGAACTTCTCCGACGAGGAGAAAGATGCAGGCTTCTGCCAACTTTTCATCGAAAGCCTCTCCGGACCGGCGTTAACCTGGTTCTCGCGACTGACCGAAGGGTCGATCGATAACTTCCACGACCTCTCGGCACAGTTTTTGAAACACTACATTATGTTCACTCGCCAAGAAACGACCTCAGCAGACTTGTGGAAGATGTCGCAATCGGCCTCCGAAAGCCTCAAGGATTTCATGGAAAAGTTCAAGAAGGTGGTGACTCAGATCGAGATCCCCGACCAAACAGCCGTCGAAGCTCTACGAAATGGGTTATGGATACACTCCAAATTTCGAGACGATCTCTACTCCAATCCCACGATCTCCCTCCAAGACGCCCTACATCGTTCTCAAAACTTTATCCGGTTGGAAGAGGACAAGCGATCGTTCATCAAAAAGCAAAACGAGCTAAAGCAAACGGCCTTGAAGGCAGCCGAAGGTCACCCCGAACCCAGGCAGCACACATCCTACAAAAAACCAGATAAAAAGAAAGGCCTCGCTAACGCCATTCCAGATGAAAAACAGCCGGACCCGGCATTGGCCGTTCGCGGACAGCGGAGCAACAAATGGACATTGGAAGTCGACGGAAAAAAGCAGGCCGCCCGAACGAATCCGGCCAACAGTGCGTACGACGCAACCAAGTGGTGCGGATACCACAAAGCGTACGGACATGAGACTAAGGAATGCAATCATCTCAAAAACTTCCTCATGACGAGTTTCGTCGAGAAGCACGCTCATCCCGAACCTCCGAAGCAACAGCCCGACGCGAATGCAAAAGGCACGGGAAAGAGCAAAGACAGGAAGGCTAACGACCGCAGCAATTCGGCCGATCGATCTCCCCCAAAGGACGATATCACCCCTTCGAACGAAGATGAGTCTGGATCTGACGAAGAGAAACCCACATCCCGCCGGAAGATCTTTACAATCAGGACGACTCCTGCGCTCTCCCTGACGAACGATACATCGGCGAAGGAAGGACAATCTGACTCATCCACCTCAGAGAACGCGCAGGAAGACGACTTCGAGTTATAACACGATATGCGTGACTCTCTCAAACGGAAGAACGCAAAGCTGAAAATTGAACCTTCTCCTGAAATCCCGCAGCGGACGATCGCAACTTCGAAAATCAGGAAACTGAATACGCTGGACGCTCGCCATCGCCTGGACGCTAAGAAGCACGACCTTCGATCAATAATCAACTCACGTGTCGGCGACTTGCGCAACAAGCTCAATCGATCGGCCGGCGCCAAGAGTGACGAAACAACGGAGGACCTGCGTGCGCAATTGAACGATGCCCGATTGAAGCGCTCAAACGCGCCCAAACGATTAAACGTGATCTTGGGAGGATCACCTCCCCATATCGACTCGGTCCATTCAGTTAAGGACTTCCGCCGGAGAGCAGTCACTGCACAGAACCGGTGCACCATATGGGAGAACGTCCCCCAGATTACCTTCTCCGCTGAAGACGCTAAAGGGGTTCACATGCCCCATAACGATTCTCTTCTCATCGAGCTCGGGATTGGTGATTGCGAGGTAACAAAAGTCATCATCGATACCGGGAGTTCGGTCGACCTCATCTTCAAAGAAACTCTTGAGAAGATGGGAATCGACCTCCGCACAATCAAACCTTCCGCGCGATCCTTGACAGGATTCAATGGATCCTCAGAAACGATGCTCGGCACCATACGACTGCGAGTCCACGCTCATAGCGTAAACAAGAACGTCAACTTCTCGATAATCGACGTAAAAACTCCATACAACGCGATTCTCGGAACACCGTGGATCCACTCGATGAAGGCAATTCCGTCAACTTATCACCAATGAATCAAGTTCCCAGGCACGGACGGTCGAATAATCACTTTACGTGGAGATCAGGCAGCCGCCCGCGACCTCCTCGTTGCGGAAATAAAGCTCCGCCGATCGCCCTGCCACGTGAATGCCGTCACTAGACCAATTCAAAAAATCGCTCCTTTCAAGGAGGAGATCTTGGAGGTACCCATTGATGGAGACGACCCAAGCAAAATCGTCCGAATAGGCGCTCAACTGCCGACCGACACGAAAGACATGATCATTTCTTTCTTGAAGGAAAACGCGTCAACTTTCGCTTGGACGACCGCCGATATGAAAGGGATAAGCCCTTCCATTATGACTCACGAGTTGAACGTCGACCCAACAATCAAATCAGTTCGACAGAAAAGAAGAAAGTTGGGACCTGAACGTTCAAAAGCAGTGAACGAAGAGGTCGACCGATTACTCAGCGCAAGGTCGATCGAAGAAGTCAAGTACCCCGAGTGGTTAGAAAACCCCGTCGTGGTAAAGAAGAAGAACGGGAAATGGCACGTTTGCGTCGATTTTACCGATCTAAACAAAGCATGTCCGAAGGATAGTTTCCCTCTCCCGCATATCGATCGTCTAGTCGAATCAACGGCCGGAAATGAGTTGCTATCGTTTATGGATGCCTTTTCGGGGTACAACCAAATCATGATGCATCCTCATGATGGGGAGAAAACGGCATTTATCACAGACGTAGGAACATATTGCTACAAAGTCATGCCCTTCGGACTCAAGAACGCCGGCGCAACCTATCAGCGTCTGGTCAACAGAATGTTTGCCGACCGATTGGGAGATACAATAGAAGTCTACATCGATGACATGATGGTAAAATCCCGCCGGGCGACCGACCACCTAAGTCACTTGGTTAACTGCTTTCGAACGCTGAACGAATACGGCATGAAGCTCAATCCAGCCAAGTGCACGTTTGGAGTCACGTCTGGTGAATTTCTCGGTTACATCGTGACGCAAAGGGGGATCGAGGCAAATCCGAAGCAAATCTCCGCCATCCTGGATCTGCCGAGCCCCAAAAACAGTCGAGAAGTGCAAAGGCTAACGGGACGAGTGGCAGCGCTTAACCGATTTATCTCGCGGTCGACCGACAAGTGCCTCCCTTTCTACAACTTGTTGCGCGGCAATAAGAAGTTCGTTTGGGACGAGAAGTGTGAAGAGGCGTTCAACCAACTGAAACATTACCTCACCACACCGCCCGTACTAGCTAAACCAGAAAAAGGAGATACACTTTACCTTTATATCGCAGTATCCTCGATCGCCGTCAGCAGTGTCCTCGTCAAGGAAGATCGCGGTGAACAGCACCCAATCTTTTATACAAGCAAGCGAATGACCGACGCCGAGACGCGATACTCAACCCTCGAAAAGATGGCCCTGGCGGTCATCACTTCGGCAAGAAAGCTCAGGCTCTACTTCCAATCTCATTCGATCGTCATTTAGACTAATCAACCGTTGCGCACAATCATGCAGAACACCAACCAGTCGGGTCGATTGTCGAAATGGGCAATCGAACTCAGCGAACACGACGTCACGTACCAAGGCAAGCCGGCCGAAAAATCGCAAGTTCTAGCCGATTTTATCATCGAGCTTCCCCCAGAACTCGAGCAGGATCTTGTCTCGCCAACAGGCATTTGGATACTACACGTCGATGGATCATCTTCGACAAAAGGATCCGGAATCGGCGTCCAGCTGCAATCGCCAACAGGCGAGTTGATTCGCCAATCATTTCGACTAGATTTCAAAGCGTCCAACAATGAAGCAGAGTATGAATCTCTCATTGCCGGCTTACGCCTTTCCGAGGCTGTTGGTGCCAAGCAAGTCCATGCATACTGCGGTTCTCAGTTAGTCGCTAATCAATTCAACGGAGACTACGACGCAAAAAAC